TCCTGTGTTGGGAACTTTGACCTCTGGGTCTCTTCATCTCACTGTTCAATTCCTATTCTTTAATAAATTTGTAATAAATCGATAATTAATGAGTAAGCGGGTTTCCTGAGTTCCGTGAGCAGCTCTAGCAAATTAATTGAACCCTAGGAGAGACGCATGGGAACCTTCAGTTTATAGCCAGTCAGCCAGAAGAACAGGTGACAACCTGGACTTGCAATTGGCATGTGAAGTGGGGGCAGCCTTGTGGGACTGAGCCCTTAACCTGTGGGCTCTGCCCCTATCTCCATGTATATGGTGTTAGAATTGAGTTAAATTTGTGGGACATCTGGTCAGTGACTCAGGGAATTGAGTTAATCGCTCAGAGGTGTGGGAAAAAACACACACATCGTAACACCTTAATTTTTTCTTTATTGAATACATTTGTCTCCATAAATCTGGCAGTTTATGGTGCAGATTAAACCCCAAACATGTTGTGTTTGGCCTCCACCACATTTGTTGTTGATTCTGTCTGTCCATCTCAGTTTGAGTGCCTTTGGCAAGATGAGCTTTTCAGTTTTATTGATCCCACCGTCTTAAGCACTGTACCGGGCACAGTCTGCTCACTGTGGTTATAAAAGGAAAAAAACCTATTTCCTCCTACTCTACTCCTACCATTTCTGACACCAGACCTATGGGGTTTTCTACACTAAGCTAGTCTCTAATTTTCGGTGTCTTACAATTTAACTCAATTCAGACACTAACTACTGGAGTTAGCGCAGACCTCAGAGGTTAAGGGCTTCGTCCCACAAGACTGCCCCCTATTTCAGATGCCAATCTCAAGTCCCAGGTTGTCACCTGTGCTTCTGACCAACTGACTATAAATCAGGGGTTCCCACCATTCCCTCCTTGGGTTTGATCATTTGTGAGATTGGGCCAGAGAATTCAGGAGAGTGCTTTACTTATGATTACTGGTCTGTTACAAAGTTTACAACTCAGAAACAGCCAATGGAAGAGATGCATGGGGGCAAAGTATGTGGGAAGGTGCACAGAGCTACCAGGCACCCCACCCTCCCAGCCCCAGCCTAGAGGCCCTGAGAATCCCATTGTTTATAGGTTTTATGGGATTCCATTACACAAGTGTGACTGCTTTAAATCACTGCTTACTGATGATTAAGTCAATTTCCAGCCAGTCACCTTTTCCCCTTCCCTAGAGTAGTGGCAGGTGGGGTAGGGTGGTGTGGGATGGGGCTGGGCTGAAAGTTCCAACCCTCACGTGGTTAATTCCTCTGGCAACCAGCCCTAATTCTCCAAGAGCTAGCGCGTTAGCATAAACAGCTATGGTTGAAAGGGGCTAATTATGAAAAACCAGAGATGCTTAGTCTCACCTCTATTACTTAGGTGATTCCAAGGATTTTAGGAGGTCTTGTTAGGAAGTAGGGCAGAGACCAAATATACATTTCCTATTATGTCACAGGTAACTTGCCTGAATCTTGTATGCATTTGATCTTGTTACTTTTGCCTTAAACAGTTTAGGGGAGAGGTGATATCTAAATTGATAAATGATGCTGAGCAAAATTATTCATCTGTGTTTCCACTGGTTTGTAAATATGTTTACATTATTTACTTTACTGTATTTCATGTGTTTTGTTTTCATTTTGGGGTGTTTTTGCTTTATTGCAGGTGATGGGGGTCTCTTTCAGGCTTACAGAGGGAAATGAGGAAGCCCTGAGGCCTTATGAGCATTTCTCTAATCACCCTTTCTCTAATTTATGGCTGCTGGTGAGTATGGTGTGTACTTTCCACCTCTTCTTAGTCTGCCCTATTTCTGTATACCTCTGTTAACTGTGTCTCTTTCTGGGATTTTATATTCAAACTCCTTGAGACAGAGAATCCACTACAGAGAGCCCAGGCTTGCTCACTGAGGTTTGCTTATGAGTAAGGTGCAGGATCCTACCTGTCCAAGGACGTGCTGGCCAGAGCTGCTGTTTAACATGACTCTGTGTGGCAACTGGCACACAAAAAAATACCCTTGGCTGCTTGCCCAAAATAGGGCTTTGGAGGGGAGGGGTGCAGCACTTAGAATCCAAGACACCACTGGTATAGGGGAGACCAAAACTTATTTGTAGTTAAGAGCATACATCCTGGAGTCGTACTGCCTGGGGTTCGAATTGTAGCTTGATTTGACCATTTACTACCTGTGGGATCTTAGGTGAGTTACTGTAATAATCTGTGCCTCAGTTTCATCTGACAAATGGGGATAATAACTATCTCACAATGTTGCTGTAAGGATTAAACTAGATAATACATGTGAAGGGTCTAGCATAGAGCTGGACATAAAACAGAAAGACTCAATAAATGTTGGTTATTATAATCCTAATTATTATAATTGTTATTTGGAAAATTCCAAAGGTATAGTACAGTGCTTTTCACGTAGCTTTTAAATCAATATTTGCTGAATGAATACAGGAACCAATGAATTAATCACACACGACTGCCTGAAGTATGTAGTTTGGCTGAGTAAATCGTCTCTCAGGTGGGACTTTAAAATACTTCACATAGAGTGTTTCACCTCTTCTTTCAAAAATTATTTCCATAATGAGACTTACATTTCAAATGGGCTTTTTAACAGAGAGCTTCCTCCCACCCCCCAGCCCTGAGAGTAGTACCAGATGGTTCATTTGTTGTTCTGCATAAGGTCCCAGTGTAAAGCTAGCAGTGGTTTTTGTTATTGGCTAGGTAACTTGCAGTGTCTGCTACAGCAGGCTATATTAATTTTTAACTTGCCAGATTTTCTTCCACAAAGCCAATAGCAGTGGATGAGAGAAATTTGTTATCTACAGCAAAAAATATTACTGCTTTAAGTTTTTTCTCTTTCTCCTTTTTTCTTTTTTTTCATTCTGATAATGTGAAGTGATATAACAGAAATGCTACTCTTGAAATTCACAGATTAGAAACAGGCTGGTATGGAATCAAGTCCATCTATCTAGTTCCTCCATAGAGTTGAACTATACTGAAAGAGAAAATATATATCGTAGATCTTTGGATACAACCTGTTGCCTACCCTTCCTTTTGTTTTTTTAGCAGATTATTAGTTCTGCTTGTCCAATGTGCCATGACCATATATACCATATATAGATGATCCTTAGATCTTGCTGTTCTTCAAAAGGAACTTGATTGCATTTGTATAAAAAGACACTGCTCCAGTACTTCAAGTGTGCTACCACCTTCATGATCCTCACTGTTACATCACTCTATCATAAGCACTATTGCTTATCGTAGTTCTTTAACTTACCCAAACATTATAAATTCCTACTATTTTAGATTCCCTTCTATTTAAATTTACTATCTTTAGTTTTTATTCTTGGTTTACATAGTGTGTTAATTTTTATCTACTTAATGTTTCAAACTTTTATCTTTTTGTTTAAATCTTTTTCTCAGGTGTAATTCTTTTTCACTTCATCATTATTGTTTCTTATTTTCTTCCTCTTTTTCTTCTAGATATCTTGTTGATTTTTGTCCCTTTTGATCTTATAGTTCTCTGATTTTATCCTTTATTTTCTTTTTATATCCTTGGTTTATAAACAGCAAGCAAGAAATATACAGAGACAGATCCAAAAGGTTTTGCCGATGAATTGGTCACATATGGAGAGGGAAAGGAAGAAATTAGTGTTGAAACCTAACATTTTAGCCCTAGCAAATGGGTGAAAAAGGATATGAATTACTACAGTAGGAAAAACAGGAGTATTTCATAAGAGAAATAAAAGTTTAAAAAACAAAAAGAGAGAGACATTAAATGCAGATTTTTAAAATACTTTTAGTTTTCTGAAAAATTCACTAGATGGTCTATTTTTTCACTCATTTGGCTGTGACTGGTGAAAACCTCTGGCTTTTGGGAATACTTGCTGTAGGTAATCAAAGGATTTATAATGCAGGAAAACTCATTGTGGTATCTATATAGAGAATAGGTTGAAAAAGCTTGAAGACAGAAAACTCCATTAGAATGGAAGCTGTGGAGGTCGATTACAATTTGGATAAGGTGGGAAAGACAGATCTACAAGTCTGTTGATAAGGAAGCTGGATGTTGAGAACCTTTCGTCTGATGTCAGTAGATGAGAGAAGCCTTTGTCAAGAGTGAAGTGGCTGAGCATTATTTTTTGAAGAAAAAGTGATAAATTGATGAGTTAAAAATGTTATCTAGTTATTTTACTGGGCATACTCAATTTTCTGAGCTTCAGAGGAAGCCTCTCTAGCCAACATATTGTTTTTACTTAGTATTATTTTCTTTAGCATGGCTTTGGAGGCCACATTATTTCAACAAAATCTTTAAATAAAAGTGGAGTAATTTGTAAATGTATTGGTCACATGTTAAATAATTTTTGTTCAACAATAAGACCATAAGTTACGTCTAAGTAAGAGCGCCTTCTTATTTTTCGTACAAAGTTACCCTGTTATTTTGTTGAAAAGAGCCGACTCCCCGAAGACCAGCATTATTGGTCTTTCACCCTCAAAGCTGTCCCCGTTTTGCATTTTGTGCTGCAAAATGGGGACAATGATGGGCATATCATAGGTTTTTTGAGGATCTTTAACGGAATGATGGATGTGTAAAGCCATACTTATCTTTCTCCTCTTCCTCTTCCAATGCCCCAGTTCTGGGTACACACAGAGCAGGCTAACCACTCGCTTCTTGAATGAATGACCGTCTATGACTCGGGGCGAGAAGAGCTTCTTAACTTTGGAACTTCAGTGACTTGGAAAGTAAGAGTCTTATCAGCATCTGTGAAGTGGAATGTCAATAAAGTTTTGTTTATTTTAAAACAGCACCCAGTAAACTACAAAGCCCAGCTTTCCCCTGGAAACCGACGAGTCACGTGGCCTGCCAGGAACCCGGAGGTCTCGCCGGCTCGCCCAGTCACGCCGGGAAACCTACGTAGCGGCGCCGGACTGGCCAATCCTAGGGAAGCTTGCTCCGCGACGCGCAGCGCCGGGTCCCGCCTCCGCGCGCGGCGCTGACGGGTTATTAGCGGATAAGGCGACCGCGGGGGGCGGAGCAAGTGGTCTCTGCCGGGCTCTGCGCCCGGCTCGGCCCTCCCTGCTCGCGGCTCTGGCTCTCCACCATGGCTCCCAAAGGCGGCTCCAAGCAGCAGTCTGAGGAGGACCTGCTCCTTCAGGATTTTAGCCGCAACCTGTCGGCCAAGTCCTCAGCGCTCTTCTTCGGGAACGCCTTCATCGTGTCCGCCATCCCCATCTGTGAGCGCTTGGAGCGAGGA